CTTTGGAAGGACAACTACTGAAGCTGAAGCTCAAATGCTTTGGCCACCAAATGAGAAGAGAGGACTCATTGGAAAAGACCCTGATGTTGGGAAAGATGGAAGGCGAAAGAAGAAGGAAATGGCAGAGGATGAGATGGTTAGATACTGTCATTGACGTAGTGGGCATGAATTTGGACAGACTCGGGGAGACAGTGAAGGGCAGGGCAGCCTGGCATGCTATGGTCGATGGGGTCATGAAGAGTCAAGACACGATTTAGCGACTGAACAACAACAACAACAAGGTAAATCTCCCTTTTAGCCTAAACATTGAGTTGGAAGTGGGGTTGTCTACAAGGGGGCAATTGCAGCCACAGAATTTCTCTCTCCCAGCTCTATAAGTAAGACAAGAAACAATATATGGAAACTAATCAAGGAGAGAAGCAACCTGGAATTAAGGAGAATTTTCCTAATAGTGAGAACAATTAACCTGTGGAATGCTTTGCTTTCAGAAGTTGCTGGAGTTTTTTTTAAGAAGAGACTGGGCAGCTACTTGTCTGAAATGGTATAAGGGTCTCTTGCTTTAGCAGGGGCTTGGAATAGAAGACCTCCTAGGTCCCTTCCATCTCTGATAATCTACATCAGGGGTAGTCAACCTTGGCTCTTTTATGACTCGTGGACTTCAACTCCCAGAATTCCTGATCCAGCTAAGCTGGCTCAGGAATTCTGGGAGTTGAAGTCCACGAGTCATAAAAGAGCCAAGGTTGACTATCCCTGATCTACGTGCTAGGTTCTATAGGAAGCATCAAGGGGGTAGGGCAGAACCAGATTTACCCCACCTGTTCCTCACCCTGCGTGGTAGCTTTCATATCCACTAGAATGCGTGTCTGGAGGTGGAAGAGACAGGAAATGTCACTTGACTAGCTGTTGCAAAAAATGTCTGGGATAGGAGCCAATGAAAAGGGCAAATAACCATTGGTTGTTGTATTATCTAACACAACAGATGTGGGTGTCTCTTATGATTTATGCCATGGCAGGCCTAGCTTGTCATTCAGTCAACTCATCCTTGACTATAAATTAGTTGCTGGAGCTAAACCCCCTACTTATCTCATGTTGTCTTTTTCTAAAACCTTTTAGTTGGGGGTGGGCTGCACTAACAGTGTGTGTGTGTGTGTGAATGTCTCATAATCATGATGTCACTGGTGTGGATAGCAAGGGTGTCTGTGAGGGAGGGTGAAGAAGCTGGCACACATTAAAAAGAGACAGGGCTTTACTTGTGCAATTATAGCCATCAGCTTGCCTTTTTTGACTCTCTCCCATGAATGTGTCCTGTAGAGAGCATTTTCCATCCATTTTTTATTTTGAGGTGCTATCAAGTTTTTAAGGTGCACAGGAGATATACAAAGCAGCCATCTTGTCAATCTGACTCATTGCCTGAAAGGAGTCCAATAATTTAGCAACCCATTTTGGGAAAAGACCTCATAGGAGCACAAAACATATGTGTTTACCATGTAAAGAGTGTGTCTGCACATGTGTGTTTCTGTGTGATATTTAAATGTGTGTGCAGTGTATGTGTGTTTGTGTATATGCATTGCCCAAGTAATGCAGACAGAAATACTGAACCCCAAACAACTGCCAACTTCATTCTGACAGTTTTCCTCCCACTTCATGTGGATAGTTTGTAAATAAATTCCAAATATTTGAAACCTTGCAGACTCTCCAGCTTTACAAATTAAATTCTGGGCTGCTTTTGGTTGAAAAACAGGGATGGCTCAGCTTCTCCTCCTCTCTTGCACACAAAAAATGGAATATTTGGCAGTCCTGTGGTGATCTAAAAGGCATGAGACATTTTAAAAGGTTTTTCTAAGTGATCTGTTTCCCCAGTCAGATTGTCTGGAGATTGCTGTGTCTCTCCATCTCCTGCTGCCTTATTAAGTGAGGGAAGGGAGCCCAACACTGCTGCAAAATTGTTCCAGGTGAGGTTAAGCAAAATAGGAGGACCTGCGTGTCAGCGGCCTCTTTAACTGTGGAAAAGGAAAAGTCACATATTTTTCAAGCATTTAACTTTATTCAATTTTTAAAGAAGGCAGAAATTAACAAAAACTAAAAAGGGATGGAGGGAGGGAGGGAGGGAGGAAGGGAAAGAAAGAAAGAAAGAAAGAAAGAAAGAAAGAAAGAAAGAAAGAAAGAAAGAAAGAAAGCTTCTCTCAGAAGGATCCCTACTACAAAGGAAAATAATTAAGATTGATTGTAAAAACAATTCCACGAATTTGTCTAAGATGTTTTTCAAGTCATTTCAACCAATGTTTCTTTTAAAAAAATATTTCATGTATTTATTTGTTTGATACGATATAAGGCTCCTGCCTTGAGCAGTGGGCTGGATTGGAAGACCACTGAGGCCACTTCCAACCCTATGATTCTATGTTACTACAGGTAATCCTCAACTTATGCCCATAATGGAGCCCGCCCATTATCGTTGTTGTAAATCACAGTGGCCATTAACTGTGTGACTGTCTCCAATTTTATGACCTTTTTTGGGTGGTCATAAAGTGAATGTGGGGATCATAAAATGAAGGCCACTGTTGTAAAGCGAATGCCTCAGTCATAAAGCAAATGCCATGGTCATAAAGTGAAACCATTGTTTGTTATGGGCCATTTCATATGTACATGCCAGGTTTGGACAAAAACATCATAAAACATGTTCAAATGACTATTGTCAGAACTTTCGAACCAGGTTGTAAGTAGAGGTGGGGAGATCTGTTGTAGCTTTGAATGGTCACTAAGCAACCAGTCTTAGGTTGGGGATTATTTGTATATTCATAGTCTGTGGCTTAACTCAGCAAAGTTCAAAACAGTTTACAAAACAAACTCTCAAATAAAAAGCTACTTCTACAACTGGACTGTTTTGAGCTCTGACATTTTTCTTTTTATTTTAACTTTTTTTTTCTTTACAGACCTGGATAGTTTTCAGAACAGGTGAAGGTTACATTTTATTTGAAATATAAGCCAAAAGGATTTCCTCCATTACTGTTTGAACTTTAAAAAGTTTGATGCTTTTCTAGCAATTCCAGATTCATTTCATAGAGGGATTTCCCCCACCACCACCCCTTTTTGACACTTACAGCAGAGGTCTCCAACCTCTTGGGCACCAGGGACCAGTTCCATGGAGAAAAGTTTTTCCACGGGCCGGAGAGTGTGTGGTTTTATGTGCTGCCTGCATCCTACAGATGGGACTTTGCTTGTTTGTGTGGACCAGTTGCTGGCATGCTATGGCCCAGTATCAGTCCACAGACTGGGGGTTGGGAACCCCTGACTTACAGAACTGCCCATATAATTTCATAGTCAGGTGGTTCCATGATTGTTCCTGGAAAATCAAGAGTAATTCCTTGGACCGATGGGAGAATCACACCTTAGCTGTGTCCAGTTTCTCCTGCTACTGCTTTGTTTTGAGTTATATTAACCTTTCTCTCTTTAAGTGAAGCAAAGATAAATCATCCTGAGGGAAGGATTGCCCTAAAAGAATAAATAATTCTAGTATGCTCAGTGTGTAAAACAAGTCTCTATTGATGACATGGAATAATGAATTAATTTATTTTAACCTTGATGTGGAATACATCATATTTTTAATCTGAACAATGAACTCCACACCTCCCCTTTTTTTTTAAAAAAAGAAAAGGCATTATGAAAGCTGATATCAATGGGATTGGCTTAAGAGTATAGAGTCCCTTTTTATGTGCAAGAAACTGCAAATACATTTCAAAAAGAGGCTTTATAGATAATGGAAATGTAAAAGAAGACTATAATATAGCAAAAAGAAAAACGAAAGAAAAGCTTCAAAGGGAGATAAGTAGGTCAAGAAAAAGTAGGAAATAAGTTATCCGCCTTCCTTCTTGGTGAATGATATAACAGCTGTTCTTGTTTTCTTTGATAACCATCATCTCTGTGGGAAGCATCCTAGAAGGAGACCACAGAGGATAGATCTGCATATTGCACTAATATGGAGTGCACAGGGACCATTTAATTCAGCTGGTGGACTGGGATCAAGAGCTGTAATGGAAAGAAGGAATAACCTTGAGGAACAGGAGGAAGAATCTTAACCAAGACAATGGTCAGATAAAGGAAATCTCAACCTGGGACAGAAGTGTAATTTGAGAAAGCATCTCAGATATGATCCTCTCTTGTAATGAAGAAACATGGAGGATGGGGGAGGGGAAATTCATTTAGAGTTGCAAGATTCTGTTGCTACAGTGGTTCTCAAACGTGGTCTGCAGTCTGGGGGGGGGGGTCCATGATGTCATCACAGGGAATCTGCAAAGGTTTGAAGAAATGTTGTGATTTAAATCTTGAGTTAAGTCTTGGTGGTCTGTGGCCATAATCTATGGCAGGGGTAGGCAACCTTGGCTCTTTTATGACTCGTGGACTTCAATTCCCAGAATTCCTGAGCCAGCATGGCTGGCTCAGGAATTCTGGAAGTTGAAGTCCACGAGTCATAAAAGAGCCAAGGTTGCCTACCCCTGATCTATGGCCACAAAAGGTATTTAAAGTGGTTCCATGGTGAAGAAAAGGTTGAGAACCACTGTATTACTATATTTATTGATTGGAGGAGGCACGATGGCCAATGGTTAAAAATACTGTCAACTAGATTTCCTTGATCTGACTATTGCCTTGCTTAAGGCTCTTCCTCCTGTTCCTCAGGGGTATTCCTTGTTCCCATTACACCTCTTGATCCCAGTTCACCAGCTGGAAAGCTGACAGCCTGGGTTCAAGACCTGAGCACTGTGTGAGGGGATGAGCTCACATTACTTGCCCTAGTTCATGCCCACCTAGCAGTTCAAAAACACGCAAATATGAGTAAATAAATAGGTACCACTTCGGTGGGAAGATAACAGCATTCTGTGAGCCTCGCCGTGTAGTCATGCTGGCCACATGATCACGGAAGAGTCTTTGGACAACTCTGGCTCCCTTGACTAGGAAACAGAGATGTGCACTACCTGATAGAGTTGGACATAAATGGACAGGGGAAATCTTTTATCTTTTTATTTATTGATTGATCATATTTAAAAACTACCCATCTTCCTCACAGACTGTAAAAGTCGCTTTATCAGGGAGATGGGCAGCATATAAATTTAGCAAACAAACAAACAAATTAAACAAACAAGCAAACAAACAAACAAATAAATAAAATACAACTTTATAATAAAAATAGTATTAGCTTGCATGTCTTTGGGGTTCAGGTTTGGCTCAGCTAAGGATGACTTACAAGACCTCTGGACACAGCCTAACGTTGCCTGCACTAGAAACACAAGTGTGTCCTTCTTTTTTTCTTCATTACATGGATAATAAAGGCCATCAGTCTGAAATGCTGCTTCTCCACAGAACTTCAATATGACATGTTCACATTGTTGTATGGCAATAATGGAAAATAAATTAATTACTCCTGAAGAATTGCAGCATAGGCCCCTGTGAGAGAGAGAAAAAAATTCAGTGAAGTGGATAAATTCCAAAATATTGCTGTATCCAGTTAGCAGTTCCATTATGAATATGCTCCAATGGGATATGAACAAAATAAAGGATAACATCTACCTATAACTTTCTAATTCAGATATCTTCTGCATTGGTTACCTTAAAATTTGGGACATTTGGATTTGTGAAAAAATGGCCACCTAATTCTGTCTGCTTGAGTTAATCATCATTATAAGAATATTTTGAGAGCGTCTGGTGCCTTTTATTCAATTTGTTAACTTCTAATTCACATGTGAAAAAATGTGAGATAACTCTTTTTGAGTTCATTAATTGTTACAAATTTAGCAAATTGATTTTCTTTTTAAATGCTCTGGTCTAATGCAATGAACTTTTTTTTTTTCCTGAAAAAGCCTCTGAAGCATTTTTTCCATGTCAATGAATTAAGAAAAAGAAAAGCAAAAACCCCCAAAATTTATTCATCGCTAGTAGCAACACAAGTAGAGCTGTGCTGGTGTTATAATTATTATTTTGGGTGACTTCAATTTAATTTTGATGCCTGATGACTGCCTAGTGTAGTCTCTGCAGTTTTCTCTGCAACATTTTTACAAGTGGTTTGCCATTGCCTCCTTCCTAGGGCTAAGAGACAATGGCTGGTCCAAAGTCACCCAGTTGGCTTTGTGCTAAAGATGGAACTAGAACTCACCATCTCCTGGTTTCAAGCTTGGTGATATAATCACTACACCAAACTAATCCTCCTCCTCCTCCATTCATCCTGTTTCTCTTTTCACCACCACCACAGTTCTGTCAGGTGGCTATAGCTGACTAGCTTCCGTACCTAAGGTGGGACTAGAACTCACAATCTCCCAGTTTCTGTCCAGCACCTTAACCACTACATAAAAAAAGTTATTTGTTCCTTTCAAGTCTCATTTGGTTAGACAAAAAAAAAAGTTATGGAGAACATTCCTTTCCTAAAGAATTTGGGGAAAATACTCATGAACAAAGTATGATGTTCTTCTTTCTTCTTTCTTTCACCTGGCCAAATGGGTATGGTCAATATTCAATTTCTCTTTCTTAATCATCTCTCCAGGACTCTCTAGGCACCCTTGTTTCACATTTATCAATAAGAATAAAATTCTCAAGTCCAGTTCTGTTCCCAGTGACTTTCATCCACTGGGTAATAGCTTCTTGTCTTTCAATTGTTCTTTTAACATCTCAGCTTATCCTACTACACAATTGGGGAAGTCAGATTCACTTAACCACCATGTTAGTAACTTAAGAATTACAGTGACTCACTTAACAACTTTGGCAAGAAAGGTCATAAAATGGGGCAAAACTCACTTAACAAATGTCTCAGCAACCAGAAATTTTGGGCTTAATTGTGGATGTAAGTCAAGGACTACCTGTGCAATAGCAGGTAACAGCCCTCCACCACCTTCATGGAGGACATTGGCTCAAAAAAAAAAAAATAAAAAAAAAATATACCACCGCTCAGAGAGGTCTGAAAGAAAAAAAAAACATCCTCAGAATAAAATAGAAACCAGACTTTTTTACAAGGCCGAAAGCTTTTGAGAAACTATGGAACAGAATCTGAGGCAGCATTCATTGCATCATCCAAACAGGCTATCTAGTTTGGGTTTCTTTTACCAGCCAGTTGATTCTGGAAAGCACCCAAAAACTGATAATGTGAGGTATCCTGTCTTTGATTTAAGAATTACAGGTAGTCCTCAACTTACGACCACAATCCGGACCAGAATTTCCATTGCTAAGCAAGGTTAAGTGAGTCATGCCCAAATTTACAACCTTTTTTTTTTACCATGGTTGATAAGTGAATCATGCAGTCATTAAACAAATCCATCTTCCCCTATTGACTTTGCTTATGGGAAGCCAGCTGGGAAAGCTAGAAATGATGATGACACGATGCTGGAACATTGCAACTATCACAGATATATCCTGATTGCCAAACACCCAAATTTTGATTGTGTGCCCATGGGGATGCTGCAACAGTCCTAAGTGTGAGAACTGGTCATAAATCTTTTTTTTCTTCAATTTCCAACACTAAACAAATTGTCGTAAATTGAGGAGTACCTGTAACATGTCATCCCTAGCAAGAACATGTGAATTTGTCCACAGCCATCCAAGTTGGTGAGAGGTTTGTCTTCCATTGAGGAGCTTGTCTGAAATGCTGATTGAGTGAAGTTGATTAGCAGCTGCTGGAAAAGAGTCCTAAGTGGCTCGTTAGCAGCAGCCTGGAAGGCGAGTCAAACTTGTACAAGATCTTGTACAGCTCAGACTGAAATCAAAATAGGTGGAGGAATCGATGGGAAACACATTCCATGGCTCAGGAAGAAAGATTTTGGGGGACCATAATTACATTAATTCACTCAGTTGTATCATAAGTTGAGGACTACTTGTATTTGTATTGTATTGAGACTCTAGAAAGAGTACAGAGAAGAGCAACAAAGATGCTTATCTTTGGAGGCTAAAGGGGACTGGAGGCTAAAACATATAAGGAACGGTTGCTGGAATTGGGTATGTCTAGTTTAATGAAGAGAAGGACGAGGGGGGACATGATAGCAGTATTCCAATATCTCAGGGGCTGCCATAAAGAAGAGGGAATCAAGCTATTTTCCAAAGCACCTGAAGGCAGGACAAGAAGCAATGGATGGAAACTAATCAAGGAGAGAAGCAACCTAGAACTAAGGAGAAACTTCCTGACAGTTAGAACAATTAACCAGTGGATCAACCTGCCTCCAGAAGTGGTGAATGCTCCAACACTGGAAGTTTTTAAAAAGAGACTGGACAGCCATTTGTCTGAAATGGTATAGGGTTTCCTGTCTGAGCAGGGGGTTGGACTAGTTGACCTCAAGATCCCTTCCAACGTTGTTGTTGTTATTGTTATTATTATTGTTATTATTATTGTTGTTGTTATTGTTATTATTTCTTTGGCCTTTCCCAAGTTTTCTCTCCACCTGAAAGCTGACAGTGTCAGTTGTTGACATAACTGACATCTGAGAATCATTGGCTTTTGGCTTATTCCTTACACCAGGATCATCCATCAAAGCTAAGCCTTTCTACTGTTAATCTCCTAGACAAGTCTGTTTTGGCAGCTATGTTTCTCCATAATGACTGATCTCCATTTGTGTACAGTTTTACTTGTGAAATGAGCCAACTCAGCTCTGGTTAGGAGAGGGTGAAAATGGGAGGAAAGGAGGAACAGTATATGGCATATTTAATACAAAGGACAAATGTATTTTTCCTGATCTCCAAATGGCCTGGTTCATTCATAGTATTAAGGCATGATTTGCTTATCTATGATATGTTTAATAATAATGTATTCATTTCTAGTGCACCTTTGAACCAAGGGCCACCTATTCAAAAGACAATGAACAAATCGGAACGTCAAAGAAAGCCAATAATTACAGACCTTTACAACATGAAATTAGAAAAGCCCATCAACAACCTAATAAAAAGCAATCAATTTACAATCCCCGAAAGAGCAAAACCAATTAAGGCACATGTGATCACATATTCTTTCTAAACTGCCAGTAAATCAATTCCATTATATAAAAATCAATACAATAAAAATGCTCCATGCCACTAGGTGTTACGTTTCCCACACAACCTAAATCCCATGACAACTTGGAGGAATATATTAAGCAGAATATATAATAACAGAGTTGGAAGGGACCTTGGAAGTCTTCTAGTCAATCCCTCTGCTCAAACAGGAGAATCTATACCATTCCAGACAAATGGATATCCAATCTTAAAACCCTCTTGTAATGGAACACCCATTACAGGCAAGCTGTTCCACTGGTTAATTGTTCCCACTGTCAGGAAATTTCTCCTTAATTCTAGGTTGGATCTCTCTTTGATAAGTTTCCATATCTTCTTGTCTTGACCTCAGGTGCTTTGGAGAATAAGTCAATCCCCTCTTCTCTGGGACAGATTCTCAAATATCGAAAGACTGTTATCATGTCACCCCAGTCCTTCTCTTCATTAGACTAGACATACCTATTTTCTGCAACAGTGCATCATACGTTTTAGTCTCCAGCCCCCTAATAATCTTTGTTGCTCTTCTCTGCACTCTTTCTACAGTCTCAACATCTTTTCTGTATCATGGTGACCAAAACTGGACAATATTCCAAGTGTGGTCTTACCAAAGCAGTATAAAGCGGTATTAACATTTCACATGATCTTGATACTATCTCTCTGTTGATGCAGCCCAAGAATGCATTGGCTTTTTTGGCAGCTGCAGTGCACTGCTGGCACATACATACATACATACATACATGCATGCATACATACATACGGTACATACATAGCAATATCAATAGCACTTAGGTTTATATACCACTTCATAGTTTCCTCTCTAAGCAATTTATAGAATCAGCATATTGCCCCCAACAATCTGGGTCCTCATTTTACTGACCTTGGAAGGATGGAAGGTTGAGTCAACCTTATGCTGGCCAGGATCAAATTGCTGCAGTTGGCAAAATTAGCCTGCAATACTGCATTCTAATTACTGCGACACCACGGCTCTTATAGGTATACATATAAGCCTATGGCTTACAGTTGTGCATTGGGGAAAAAAAGTCACCCATTATAGTTTATTAAGTCATAATTAGGATTCATCAAGATCTACCAAGATTTACCAAGATGGGCGAACGTAGTCATCAGATAGTACATGGTTGGGATAGCTACATTTGTCCTTCCGAGCTACGCCACCTGCATAGCAACTGCAATCCTTTTCAAAATCAGGAAGTAAAAGGCCTGCAAGAAGTTATGTTTTTTTTTTTTTATTAACTTCAGAAGTTCTTAGGTTGATATGATTTTCAATTGTCATGTCCAAATAGTTCTGGACTCCTTGCACATCATCTCCAATATAACTAAGAACATGATGGAAGACAGAGAACCAGTGAGACAAATGCTAAGGGCAAAACCAATGGTGATTTTGCAAGCAAAGAGGATGGATGTCAATTTGGGGACAAGCTCTTTTG